TCCGACGTCTAAACCAAAGTCAGACGAAAGAGGGACAAACCAGAGATACCATTACTCAAATCCAAGATCCTGCACAGAAGAAAGGTGCGCTAAGATTAATGATAAAAGGATTATTATTGATAACAATGATTTCGATGATGGTAACGCGAAGCATGGCGAAGAAAAATTGCAAATGGGTATCTGGAATGCCGCTTAACGTGCCTGAAAAATGGAACTGCAGGGAAATCACAACTCAAAATGCCACAACAATAACTGCCACAGTGTACACCCGAACACACATACGAATACCGACTATAAAATGTAGCAATATCACTCGGACAATATGCGCTAAAGCATTCCTCAGATGGTCATTGTCAGTAGTTTCCGATCAAACAATTACCCCCGCAACTACACGAGTTTTGCAAAGCCTTGAACGCGACAAAAAAGGTGAATGAAATGACCTTAAATCAAGTTTCTCCAAATAAATGGATGACAACAAACAACGTACAATATTCATGCGGATCGTTGGGAATCAAATTCCAATCGAACATTTGCTCAAGTGCGTCTGGACTATTTGGGTCCCACCTCTGTCGAAACTGAAATGGGACTGTCAAAACGATGGGTCGCCCTATTCACTTGCTTCACTACCAGAGCCGTGCATTTGGAAATGGCAGATAATTTATCCGCCGAAAGCTTCCTAAATGTGCTCAGAAGATTCGTAGCCCGGCGCGGTTATCCGGAATTGATTCTAAGCGACAACGCCAGTCAGTTCCAACTGGTCTTCAAAACTATAATGAACCAGGAAAAGGATGCCATAGAATTCATTGTAAAAGGAGAAATGAAGTGGAAAAACATTATTCCGAAGGCTCCTTAGAGTGGAGGAATCTATGAGAGGATAACCGGCCTAACGAAGAAAGACGTTGAGAAGAGCAGTGGGAAGAAAACTGCTAAAGAAAAAAGGTTTAATAACCCTCATAGCAGAAATAAGAGGAATACAATTATTTGATTGTAGTTAGAGATTAATTTCGGATTTCTGACACTCCCGACCGAAGAATGTTTTAATGAGGAATAATTTGTGGTTTATAACGAAAAGAAGTTTGTGTACTGAATGATTCCAATTTCTCTTCTCTTCTTAAAGGAATTTTTAAAGAACTCATAGGGATGGTGACAATTTCTCTTCGATGAGAGGTATCAATATAACATGTACAAATTATTGATTTAATCAAATCGAAATTCGATTTGACAATAAAAAATAGAATTAAAGTTACAATGATGCTAATTATAATGGTGACTGTTTCTGCAAAAATTTCTTGTGATAAAATTTAGATATATAATTTAGATATACCGACCTCATTTTCTAACTGTTCTGCAAGTTCTTCCCCTTGTTGGCTTATTTCTTCCCAAAAAACTTCCATTTCTTCTTGATGATTTACCGCTCTGATGGATTCTTGTTTGTGAGCCAAAATCTCTAATTCTGCGTTGATTCTTTCGAACTCAAACTTATTGATGATTCTCCCGTAAATTCAGCGGACCTTTGTTTTGTTTTCGTCGGATTAACAAGGGGAGATCAATGGTTCTCCATTGATTTTTTTGACCATGATGTCGTTCCTCGGAATAGCATCTCCGCAGCTAATGTTGGATTGCCGTGAAGCAACCACTTAACCAAATGTCAATAAATTGTTCCGATTTTGATAACTTCGGTGATATACTTCCTTAAGTTGTTCTCGTATTTCACTCCGCATGATGTCGAAAACATATTGAAATATTGCATTTTCTGGATTGAGTACTTCGACGGCTCGTTTTCGATCATGATCACATAGTGATCTAACACTCGTCGCCCCTTTTATTAACTTTGATTGAGTTTTTATTCCTTACGTCGTTCATTTCGACAATGAAATCCCCTTTCATTAAATGCGGTTTATTAAATCCACAATGCATTGTCATAGTTGGTTTGTCTTTTTTTTTCAAATGTGAACGAGGTTTGTAAGTCATTTATGAAAAGGTGGGTTCCATATTTTCGAGCCTCAAATTTCCCAATCTTTCGATACAAACGAATGTCTTGTTGCTTCCGTTTTATTCCATAGGACAACGCTAGTATTTGTCATGCATTTGCCCATTGGAGTAGTGCAGTTCTCCGTGGAGTCAAGATCTGAGACGGGACTCCTTCCATTATACAGAAAGATTTCTCCTTTTTCGAGTATGAAGTTCGTTATCGATTGGCATTTGATTCCCAACGATCCGCATGAATATTGTATGTTGTTTGTTGTCATCCATTTATTTGGAGAAACTTGATTTAAGGTCATTTCATTCACCTTTTTTGTCGCGTTCAAGGCTTTGCAAAACTCGTGTAGTTGCGGGGGTAATTATTTGATCGGAAACTACTGACAATGACCATCTGAGGAATGCTTTAGCGCATATTGTCCGAGTGATATTGCTACATTTTATAGTCGGTATTCGTATGTGTGTTCGGGTGTACACTGTGGCAGTTATTGTTGTGGCATTTTGAGTTGTGATTTCCCTGCAGTTCCATTTTTCAGGCACGTTAAGCGGCATTCCAGATACCCATTTGCAATTTTTCTTCGCCATGCTTCGCGTTACCATCATCGAAATCATTGTTATCAATAATAATCCTTTTATCATTAATCTTAGCGCACCTTTCTTCTGTGCAGGATCTTGGATTTGAGTAATGGTATCTCTGGTTTGTCCCTCTTTCGTCTGACTTTGGTTTAGACGTCGGA